GTTCATAGAGTAATTCATTCAACAAAAAAGAGGAAAGTGTTAGGCTGGCACATTTTGGGAAATCATCATCCTTCAAGACAAATCGTCAGATTCTTAGCAGATACTTACCTGAACTCCAGTTACCAGCTTTAAGTGCTCAGCAGTAGCAATCTAGTGAACTTGTGAGTTTCCAGCTCTGTATCAGAATGCAGCTTTGTACTCAATATGAAGTAGACAGGAGAATGGTTGAACCGTGGTCTCCCAACAATCAGGACCACTTATAAGGCACCAAGTCCTTCCTAGTCTCTCCATTAGTAGTGCTCTCCACTTGCATGCATTAGCAAACATCTCCCAAGCCAGCATGAGATAAATCACTTTGTTGCCTAACAGACCAACGACTGAGCTGGGAAGTGGGGTATCAGGGGTCTGGTACCTGCTCCAGCAGAAATAACTGCTAGAAAAAAAGAAACGGTCTTGACATGAGCAACTAGGAACATGAATCATCATGCCATACCCCAATCCAGAGAGCACCTACCTATAATCTTCAAGATAAGGATTTGAATCATTTCAAGGGAGAGGGAAACAGAATGGAACCGGTGTCAGTGGTGTCTCAGCTCCTAAATTTTGGGGTGAAAAGCTTTCCAGTAAAATTAGCAGGCAAATCTCATCCAAGCAGCTGTCAGGTGATAAAAAATTACAGTTCCGTTCATGTGGTTAAAGCACTGACAAAAGAAGTTTGACCAGCTCTCAAGCAAATTTATTCTTCTTTCAATCACCTTGTCTTACAAGACACTACTGCTTTACCAGCCCTGGAAGCTCACCGACTCTCAGATACGGCTGTCTCTGGCTTTAACTCGGAGCATTTCTAGCACAGTACTGACTATACATTTCATCCGTTACTTTTATTCCTTTGACGTAAAGTTTTGTTATTTATTCTGAACAGCAGATCACAAGACTTGGAAGCACATGTTTGGTATGAAATTAGGAGAAATAGCTGAATTTCCCATGCTTCAGGGAACTCTAAAGCTTATGTATTACAAAACACAAGTGAAAACGAAATGCCGTTAAAATGGCCATAACGTTGTCACCAAAACTCCTGATTTCCTGTGTAACACAATGAACAAGAATACCTTCAGACCAGAGAAATGAAAAGCAAAGGAAAAGGCTAAATGACTAGTTTTAGCTGTTAAATATTAACAGCAATGGGATCTACCAGATCTTTATAGCAAAAGAGGAAAAATCTTCTGGGATAATCCTATTTTGTTCCAAGCTGTCCTGGGGCAATCACTGCAGGATTTAGTCACTGAGGCAGAGAAAGTAGCCCCTGATAAGTGGCCAGAAGCCAACTCAGTGGCTGGGTATGGTGTCAGGGCCTAAGCAGGGAGCAGCAGGAAAGGCTGAGCTCTCCTCTCTCTTCACTAACAAAGCACAAGGATGGTTTAGAGACATGTTCAATGAGCTCCATTGAGATCACTGGCTTTGAGCTGACAGGGAAGTCCCTGTGAGTAGTTGTGGGAGTTTCTTACAAAGCTATGTGGAAATAGGTTAAGGTAAGTGCATCTTCTGAAAACAGCAGAAAGCAAAGGTGCAAATTAAATAGAGATACATCTAAGGCAGGAGCCAAGGAGTGGGCGGAGGCTTAGTTTTGGAGATGCATTTTTAGACAAAACCCAATTTAAAAAGAAGTGTGTGAGTGGGAGCCTACCTGTTCATTACCTCGTCACGTACCAGAGAGCGACTAGAACTTCTGTTACGGGCTTTAAAGCTACAAAATCCTGTCAGGTGTGATCTGAGAAGATAGTCAAGAGTGTATTAAACTACAGTTATGAATTACCTGAGCTGAGACCAAGCTTTCAGAAACAGGTACCTAATTTTTGACTTGTCCATCTGCAATGAAGCAGATTAAGGATGTAACCTGCTTGTCCAAAGACGGATCTTGGAAACCTATTTTGATATATGTTTTAGGAGAAAATCTGTCTGGATGTGATTCGAAGCTAACAAAATACATCTCTGAACCTTCAAGGAGAAGCACTGGAGGAGGCGCAGAGATTGATATGCAACCTCTTTCTCTCATTTCATTTCTTTATCAGGCTATAGATGACACGAAGCATACAGAAAGGGGAGTTAAAATGACCAGCCTCCCTGGGAGGTTTGGTTTCACCCTTCTAATAAGTCAAGCATCCAAGCAAAGCACAGTACTACTTTACCTTTGTAAGGAACCGCAATTTTTCTTTTTGCTTGACTTCACCATCTTGCTTCTGCACCTCGTTTTCCTAATCATTATTTATAAAAGATTAATAAAAACAAACAAACAAACAAAAAACCAACCAAACAAACCGTGATCCAAAGCATTACATTCTCTTAAGTATATTCAGAAAAAACGGGTGCTGTTAGGAACCATCAGAGAGCAGTGAATTTCAAACAGGAAAACTCGTATCTGATGGATTTCATCGGCCCGACTGAGTAGTTAAGTGTTCACTGCCCGTGAACATGTGATTTTATCTCGCTGAAATACATGAGGCATGCACCAAGGAGAACATACGGTAGTTTCAACGTACATCGCTGATGACAGAATTGCACTGACCTCTGAGGAAGGACCATCTGCAGTCAGTGCCACACGAGGGATGGCCTTCCAGCCACCTGAAAAGGTTTACTTTTCCTAAGCATTGTGCTGTATTATACATGTATCTGAAACCTAAAATGCTTGATTTTCATGTTGTAGTCAAAAATAATTCTCTACACAGCTAATTAAACATGGAATTCGAATTAAATATTTATTCAGACCTCCACTTAAGAACACAGTCCGCTGTCACAGCTTCTAAACACATTTTTTGTGAAGATCTTTACTAACTTTCTTTTAGGTTTTATTACACTTTTCCCATGCGGTGTTACACACGCATGTGTGCACACATATCTGTAAAATGTGCATAGCTAATTATCTAATTAACATCTACGTTCTGAGTCATCAATTCAACTTTTTCAGAGGACTAGAAGAACAGCAACCCGTCTTGCTTTCCCAACCAATCAAAAAAAGACAAATCACTCTTCAGGCAAATCAGGAGTCCTGACTTAAGCTTACCTGGACTTGGATCTTTGCCAACCTTTTAAAATCACTTTTCGATAAATGTCCCAAAAGTCTCTAGAACATCTCTGAACTTTAGCTATAGTCTCTGACAGCAAACTGTAATGTCATTTAATTACAAACATGACCTTGAATGTTTTGTTGGGGAAAAAAACCTGAAAGTTTAGCTCTTTGGAAGTAGTATTCAAATTCAAAGCCTGTGGGTGGAGTTGGGGTGTGTGAAGGTGCATAAATAGGCAGTAGGAAAGGCAGCGTTCACACTGTAACCGGGAACACCTCTGCACCCTGGCAGGCGTCTGGGAGAGTAAATAAGGTAAGGCACGGTGCCCGTGCTGCTTTAGAACGTACCTGGGGAGCTGCGAGCCCGGGATACTTGGGGCTGGGGCAGCCGATCGAAGGAAAGAGAAGACTTCAGCAAAGCACAGCTTGCTATGAAGAAAAATGTGTAGAGAAACGTTGGCTTTGCATGTTAAACGAGCCAGGAGAGGAAGGGGATTTTTGGGGGGGTGGAAAACTTAGCAAAAATGCACATAGCCTTCCAGAGGTGAAGTTTTGAAAGAGCAGGTTTAACATTCCTCTGTCTTTGCTTTCTGCATTCTGCAGCAGCAACAGCATAAAGTTTGCCTGGTCTTTTATTTCCTTCTTTCTCTTTTTTTTTTCTGTTTTTGTTTTTTTGTTTGTTTTAAAGAAGCATTGCTTCCACTGTACAGGTCTAGCCAGAACGACTCTTGAGGAAACCCTAAAAATCTACTGGGTTTGACTTAACTTTATGCAATTTTCTTCCTTGCCAAGGAGACATTTCTTAGGGCAAAAAGGGAGTCTACCACAAAAGTCTATTTCATGCCCTTGATGCTGTGACTTTTTAGATGTCTGAGGTCTCTTGGACATCCTGGTAGCAAAGAGCACTGTGAAACTGATGCAAATTCAGCTAACGTCTCTCCTGCAGTTCCTACCCAGGAAAACGTTTCTGTTTCCCTGCAGTTTCATTTTCATTGTCTGAATTTTAAAAACTGTCAGCCTGCAATAATTTTTGCACGAATCTTTCCCATTTTCTGTATTGCTTTTGGAATATCTTAGATTTTCTTACTGTACCCATTATGTATTGGGTGTCCAGGAGGAAATTTTATGAGAAAACATAGGGTCATGTTGCTGAAGTCTTTTACCCCTTCAAAGCATCATTCCAGCTGAAACACTGAGGAGCTTCCCATCAGACATGTCTCATCTCCATCTCCATGCCCCAGAGTCCAGCTCAGGAAACACCTTCTGCTTTGTGTTGTTCAAACCAGCAAACTGCATTTCAGTTCTTGCTGTTCTACACAGCAGCTCCTCACGACTCTTTTTATTATAGTTTCGACTGGTTTTAAGGCTTAGATGATACTTTTCAGGGGGAAGACAGGATTGCAAGTTTCATCAACAGCATTAAGCTGTGCCTGTGCCAATGGCTCACTGTAAAGCCTAGCTTAACATTTTAACTTCTCGTTTGAGAAATGGAGAAAGAGCAGAGATGAGTTAATTTTTCAGCGCCTGCTACTGGGTTACTATAACACTGGGAGCTCGAGGTAGAACTGTGAACTTATTAGGACTTGCAAGTCCTTTTGGAATTGCCAGAACTCCGTTGTTTCACTGAGCAAATTCAATATATGCAAAAAGAAGAGAGAGAAACTAACACGTACGTGTGCATCGTTAAAGGACCACAGCCCAAGGGCAGGAACGGGGCAGCAGAAAGCAGCCAGGTCCTCCATGGCAATTGCTAAGCAAACCTCACGCCTTCTAGCGGTTCCCCTGAGCCCAGGCCCTGCCTGGAGCAGCTCGTTTCAGCCCTGACTCGCCCTGCTGCATGCTTTTGGCTTGACCTGCTGCTCTACCCGTCCTAACCTCCTGCGTGCCTCAAAGCAAGCACCGGCCTGGGAGGCAGGACAACAACGTCGGGTTGCTCTCCTCTGTTCCAGGAGCAGCCATGGAGAAGAGTTACATGTCCGTGTTCCTGCTGCTCGTTGCCATCTCCTGCGCCCTGGCAAAAGATGTGGGCAAGAAGGACGCAAAGCAGACTACCGCGAAACCAAAACTGCCTCAGACACTCTCCAGAGGTAAAAAACACAGAGAAAACCCACTCCTAAATTAAAAAAAAAAGTGCAATCTGCTAAAGGTTTGACTCCTATGCTGTTCTAGTAAGTTAATTTTCCTGCAATGCGTTCTGCAAATACACTTCCTAGCACCCCCTCCCTCTTCATTCCTCATTTAAAAACCTCTGTTCAAAGCCCTTCCCGGCTGAGGTGGGCGGGACTCGAACCCGCGGCCCCCGGGGTCCCCCCTTATAACGCGCCGCCCGTCCTCCCCCCGCAGGCTGGGGAGACCAGCTCTTCTGGACCCAGACGTACGAGGAAGCCCTCTTCCGCGCCAAGCACAGGTACCGCGCCCCTCCGCGCCCCTCCGCGCCCCCTAGCGCCTCCCCGGCCCTTCACGAGGACTCTTTTCTTTTCCAGCAACAAACCCCTGATGATCATCCACCACTTGGAGGACTGCCCGCACAGCCAAGGTAACCCCTTTGCACCAAAAACAACAACAACAACTATCATCTGGTTCTTTAGTTTCTGGATAAATGTTGCTTAAAAAAAATTAATAATAAAACGCTAAACCCCAGCCCCCATTCTGCTTGCTGGGTGCGCCTTAGCGAAATGCTAACTTGCACCAGCACGGGGAGCGTTTTTCAAGTCGCTGTCCCACGGAGGTATTCTTTCCACGTGCAGAAAGGAAATAAAAACGGCAATTCGGTATGACGTGATACGAACACAGGTCAGGAGGTTTTCACCTGGTTTTGGCTCACGTCGCAATCAGCCAAAACCAACCGCAGGACCAGGAGCAGTGAAAAACAATAATTTGGTGGAAAGGACGCGTTCAGCTCTCGGTGGCATTGACGACCGAGACTGAATCGAGCCAGGGACTAGATCAAACGAGGCTGAGACTGAGCTCCTGTGGGACTGCTGGTCACGGGGGCTGCTCTTCTCCCAGTGTTTCCGAATTTACCCGAGGGCCCTTCCCCCAGCACCCAATCCACCCGGCAAGACCTTTGCGTCCGTCCCTAGCTCCAGTGACTCCCGAAGGATCTTTGCACAAGCATCAAAACCCTTTCAGACACTTCAGGCTGAAGTCCCACGCACTGGATTGGCGGTGCCTTACGAACTGGGACCAGAAGCGGCGATAGTAGAACAGGAGGTTTGAAGGGTCAAACGCTCAAATTCGAGCTTAAGGAGACAAATCTGAGTGTGAGCTGCACTACCTGAAGGAAGGAGAGACATCTTGTACCATAATTACTCTTTGATATAAATGAGTTGATTGTCTTCCAGTGGGATGAAAATCTTCATTTGCTGTAATTGTAAACGGAATTCGCATTTTGACCCCATCAGTTTGAATTTCTTTCTCAAGGACAGTATGTTTCGGGAGCATATTTTTAACTATCATTCCCATTTGTTTCCACTCTAGCCCTCAAGAAGGCCTTCGCTGAAGATAAAGAAATACAGCAATTGGCTGAAAAATTCATTCTCCTGAACCTTGTGGTAAGTTTCCCACTCACACTTCATTAAGCGAAAGCAATAAAGTTCTATTTTTAATTATGGCTTCTCTAGCTATAACTAGTCAGTTTAATAGCTAGGGTTGGCTAGGAAAATGGCCGTTGCTGAAGCATAATAGATAAGTCTCTTCCATCAGTAGCCATCAAAATATGAGGGAATTTAAAGTTTAATAATAACCTGAATTGTTGTTGACATCAATTTGCAATTCCAGCTGTTAAGAGATTGCATCACGGACAGTCAATCTACCACAAAACGTATCGTTTGAGCTGTATTCCATAACACAGAGTACAATGGAGACAAAAAATAACATTTCTATAACATGCCCTCCTTGACTGGGAACCTTCTCTGTTTTCTTTAAGTACGAAACCACAGACAAGAATCTTGCACCTGACGGCCAGTACGTCCCTCGGATTATGTTCATAGGTGAGTCCCTCGAGCACCAACGCTGATCTCGGCCCGAAGCCCGGCTGCGCCATGAGTCTCAAATCCTTGGGCTTATCAACAGGAATTTATTTCATGAGAAACATAACATTTCCAGCTGGTTTTGTGGGATCAAATTCCAAAGCAACCCCAGCCAGGTCATTAGCTTCTTCCCTCAGAGATTCTACGTAATTCCTTCCGTCATGTCATCGAAAGGCCGTGACGCCACCGTCACTGCAAGGGGGGGGGCACTGGCTCAGCCTTGCTCACCCTCCTAGCTCTAGAAACACCGTTGATCCATCGGGTTTTGGGTTGTAACGCGATCGCAGGAACAGCAGTGACCCCGGATGCTCCATGGCCCGATTTCCAAGGCTCAGTGCTCTGTTCTGGCTCCCCTGACCTGCCCAAACCCCCCAAAGCATTTCTGCTTTGGAGACCTATGAGCGGTCGTGCATGTGTCCGGGTATTCCCTCTCCCAGAACAGAGCCGTAGCCTCACGTACTGCATACGCATGATGAACACATACCTTTATAAACCAACTGCCATGCTACCTCTTCCTTTATTTCTTTTTTAATAACATTTGAAGCCTGCAAGCAGCCTCAGCTTGTAGAGTTACTTCAGGCCCTATGCAGCGGCACAGGGCGCAAGGCTGATCAATACTGATCAGAGTTAAACCTATCCCCTTCTTAAAAAACCTGCAAATGCAACACTTAAAATTGAAATGTCAGTGACTCTTAGAAAAACAACCTCTTAGTTGTTGGTAGAAGCAGATGTGTCTTGCAGAAACAGTCAGGAAGCAAGCAAAAGCGTTATTTCCTTCTGCTGGAAGGTTAATCCTGTTCTCTACGACTTCTCTCATCCTTTTTTTTTCTAGATCCTTCCCTGACTGTGAGAGCAGATATCACTGGAAGATACTCAAACCGTCTCTACGCATACGAGCCCTCTGACATTTCGTTGTGTAAGTACTGCATTCTGAAAATATTCTGAAGATATTCTGAAATCAGCCTCATTTTCCACGCAACAAGGAGTAACGCCAGGCATTACAGACTCTCGCCATCAGTACTAGGATTAAAAGGAACCAGGATGCTAGCCTTCAGCTCGGTGAGGTGAAGAGAATGATGGCAGAGCCCTGGAGACTTAAACATCCATCCGTTTTCAAAAAAGCCTGCGTCAGCAGGACCTCGCATAAGGCAGCGGCGGACCCTGTAAGCAGGGGCGAGACCTGCACACAGCCCTGCGGGGCCAGGCCGGGACAGCACCGGGAGCAGGGAAAGGCTGGTTGCTCCAGCCCTCCCTCGGCACCGCAAACCTCCCGCCTCTGCCCGGCCAGCGCCCGTGCGTTCGCTTTCACGGAGGGATGTCCTCACCGGCCCGAAGCGAACAGATGGCGTTCGCAAAACGCCGGGAAGAGGAGAGTGCAGCAGTCTCTAGAGCAGTAGGCGTGTGAGAGAAAGCTTTAATAATAATGACGACATTTTCTCTACAGTAGTTGTAGTCGCTGGCGGAGAAAGTGCTAACAAAAATAACCCGTCTGAATATTCCATTTCTAGTGCACTCCAATATGCAGAAAGCGCTGAAGCTCCTGAAGACTGAACTGTAAAGGGAAGGAGGAAGCCCTAAGATACTACGATGTCTCATCTTCCATCTCTTCTCCGCTCCCTGAAACTGGTGAAGAGACTATTTAGTGATATTTAGTGACATGTAGCGCTGGGTTGTATACATAAACACTACAGTTTTACATTAGCACTTTTGTACTGGGCAGCATTTTTAAAAGCTGGAGGCTTTTAATTTAAGGCATACAGAGGAGTACTGTATGATCCAACTGTAAAAATGATTTTTTTAAAAATAAATCCATTTCAAGTGTTTACATACAAAACGTTGCTGTGGTTTGTATTTTTTTTTCCTTATTATCTGCCATTATTAGAAAGAGTAAAATCACTGTTGCTTGAGACCACAGCTCATGATTTTATACCTAAGCACTTTAGAAGGAAAAGGGCTGTTGTGGTTTAACCCCCACCGCAGCTCAGCCCCACGCAGCCCCTCACTCATTCCCCCACGATGGGATGGGGGAGAGCACTGGAAGGGTCAGAGTGGGAAAACTCCTGGGCTGAGATACAGACACTTCAAGGGGTAAAGCAAAAGCCCCGCACCAGCAAAGCAAAACGAGGAGCTGGTTCACCGCTCCCCCCGGGCGGGCAGGGGTGCAGCCATCTCCAGCAGAGCGGGGCTCCATCACGTGTGACGGAGACTTGGGAAGACAAACGCCATCGCTCCGAACATCCCCGCTTCCTCCTCCTTCTCCCAGCGTTATACGCCGAGCACGACGCCGTGGGGTGTGGGACGCCCCTTGGGTCCGTTGGGGGCGGCTGTCCCGGCCGTGTCCCCTCCCAGCTTGCCCTGCACCCCCAGCCGGCTCGCGGGTGGGTGGGTGAGGAGCAGCCGAGGCCTCGGCTCCGTGGGCGGGGTACCGCAGCACCCCTCGGTTCTCAGCGGCGTTTGGGTGTCACAGCCAGAGCACAGCCCCGCACCAGCCGCTGCGAAGCAAAGTAACTCTGTCCCAGCAAGACCCAGCACAGGGAAGCGGCCTTTATCTCCCGTTTCAGCAGCCAGCTAAGCTCTGCCTTGCTCCCCCTGCTTTATCTCCATGCATTTTCCTGTAGCACCAACTCATGTCAAGCTCTCATTGTCAGCCCTTTCTTTACAGTTAGATAACAAGTGCAAACCTTTTACAGAAGAGTACTCAAGACCAGCGGATGGGATTGTTTGCACGGGGGGGTTCTTTTTTTTAAACTGCCTGCATTCTGAAGTTATCCAAGGATCACCTTATCGACTTAAAAGATTTTTTTCAAACAAGACAAAAACTGCTTCTGTTAAGAGTCCTGCTTTCAGTAAAGCCTTGCAATGATTATTAGAAGTGATATTGTATTGAGTACATGGTTAGTTTTATGACTGTTAGGGCTTGTGATTGCTTTTTTCCAAGGCCAAAAGAGAACAGAGAAGTCAGAACTAAAAGAAACCCTGCAGCTGAACGCCATAGGAGTACACACCACTTTAAGACTTAGACCAAAACGAGACTTTCCAACCTCAAGTATCTCAGGACCAGCACGAGACACTTTGCCCAGGACTACATCTCCATTACCTTCTCAGCTTTTCGGCAACATCAGCCATTGTTACCACTACCAGCCACGATGAGAACCACGCAGAAAAGGTTTGTTCTTTTGCTGCAGGAAGGTCTTTCCCTCCTTCACTTCTCAGCAGAAAGGGGGAGGGAAGGATGCAATAGATAGGGGTAGACATTCTCCAGAAGCAGCCATCATCCACAAAAAGCAAGAAAGATGGTTGCACCACTGAGCAGAGGGACAGCACAGAGGCTGGAGCACTTGCTTATCTGCATTTAATCAAGAAAAGGTATAAATACATTTTTAAAATGCTCCTTTTCAACACGTCAGAACAGTACAGCAGTCTTGTATGCTGTCGTACACTGACATGCGAGTCAGACCTCTCCTGAGGAAGGCTACTCTCTTCCCCCCCAAAGCCAAAGTCAGACTCAATGTGTTTGACTGTCCCCTTAAGAATTAGGTTCTGAACGAGATTCAACACCGCTGCCGTGAATTTATGGTTTATGTTGGTCATTTTGGTTTTTTTTGTTTGTGTTTTTTTTTTTTTTAAATCAGTATTGTGAAGACACAAAGTAGTATTAATATGATAGAAAAACTTTAATCAAACCATATGATCCACCGATCTGTCTTTCGACTACTAAACCAAATGTTACGAGACAGAAGAGTTTCTGAAGCGGAAACATTTTCAGTATTTTCTCAGCGATGCACATTTACACTCCAATATCACCTGCCTTATTTATGAAACCAGACCCAACCAAAACAATTAGGAAAAAAAGTCAAAATTGAAGCAGCAAGGTGGTATTATTCCAAGCTTCATACACCTTCTCCATAAGACTTTAACTCATTAATGTCTGGAGCCTGTCTAAACTAGGAAAATTAACAGTTGCCAATGCCAGACACAAGCTGCTCACTGTCCTCTTGACATATCTTGAGAAAGGCTGGGTAGTTCCTTAACCAGGACAGCACTTCGGGGGAAAAAAACAAAGCTGCATACATTTAGATTATACTTCAGCAATAGTCCGAAGGTCTTTCAGTACATGAGCGGGTTCTTCTGCTCAATGTACAAGCATGTGCTTGAAACGGCCACCGGTACTTCTCGACGTCGGGAGCAGCAACTCACACCTCACACACCAGGAGATGGCGCTGAGAGCAGAGGCTGAAGCAGCAGCTACATCTGCAGAGAAGTCGTCTGAAAGTCGTCCTCGACACTCCTCTGCATTCGGGTTTGACTCTTCTCGTTTAAAACCCCAAGACAACCCCTTCCTTAGGAGCACTGGCCACGTGAAAGCCCGAGAGCGTCCTGACGGGCGGGTATTTCAATCTCTTTCTGCCTCCCTTGCAAGAGCAAGGGGGCATCTCCCTAGTAAAGGCGGACTGTGAGAACCCGCTGCCATCCGCCCTCGCCATCCTTCCTTCCCACCTCGCTCAGCTGCTGAGTTCCTTGGCAGATGACCCCAATACTCGTCCCCTTTTCTGCCTGCAGAGCCACCTTTCAGGCCACAGCAGCGGCCCACCAAGCTTCTGAGAAGCGGCAACCGAATGAAGAAGAGGTGCAGAGCAGGTCTGCGCTTCAGCGGGGTTAGAAACGACCGGAACATTCTACACCTCAGGTGTCTGTATGTCTGAGATGCTGATGCATCGCTTCTGTTACAGGTTGGGAGAAGGACCATGCTTTCCTTCGGCTCAGACGATACTTAACTACATGGATAATGTACCATTCTAACTTTAATTCTTTTCTTGTTTGTTTTTTTTTTTAAAAAAAAAAAACAAACTACTGCAAACCATCGCTTTTGGGTTTTGACCTTTTCTTTTTTCTTTCTTTTTTTACACAGCATTCAATCTCTCATGAAATCAAGACTGGTAGCTGGATGACAGAGGAATATACACTGCTGAGTTATTACAACAATAACTTTACACCACCTGAAAAAAAAAAAAAATAGCTGTACAACAACTTCCCAGACATCAAGTTTCCCACACTGAAGATGACAGACCACTATTGATTCTGATGTTGTGCAAATACCAAACTTCATTCACTTGTCAAAGAAAAAAAAAGTTTCAAGTTAATCAGATGCAGATTACATTCTCCTGGGTTTTTTTCATTCATTATTCTTGTAGTCAAGATACCCATTAAAAAGTAAAGAATTATTTTTATTCTCAACAAAATTCTAAAGCTACCAGAAAGCCAAAACAAACAGGGAAGGGGAGGGATGGAAACTACAGTAGTCATTAACACACACATAGGTGCACTACAGAAAATAACATCTTTAGCTTCTATTTTTACCTTAACAGGGAAGTGGGAGACCATTATTATGACAAAAAAGTTGACTACAGTTCACCCTAAAGCTAATCAAATAATACAGTCCAAACATCCACCATATATTTTTATCATTTTAATGAGAAACCATGTGAATTTTTGTAATCAATGAATATAGCAGGAAATACTTTTGGGTTTTTTTTTTGGAGAAGCCAGTAGTGCTATAGAACTCCCTGTATAGAGTTCACCACATCAATTACCAAAGCCCTAACAGAGTTATTTAACCAGCTCAGAGCAGCCGTCTGACGCTGCCCAGCTACTGACTGCACCAGTCTACTTCAAGACAGAGATTCTTCGAAGAAAAATAGGGGAAAATTAAATAGGAAAACTACGGATTTCTTACGGAAATTAAAGGGGGTTTTTGGGTACATGAAGAATCTCTATGAAGGAGAAATACCAAACTACGGAGAATCAGTATTTTGAAGTAGAGGGTGCAGAGAGAAGATTCAGTCCTTTATAAACTTATCAAAGAAATGCACTAGGGTTTGCACGGGGATCCTTTTGGTTCCTGTATCTGTATGTCAGCCAGACTCCCAGGATCTGAAAACAAAACCCAAAAGATATTATTAAGCAGAGGGTCTCCACCCCAACTTCCACCAGTTTTACAAAATTTGCTTTAAACATAAAATCCTGACAACGAAGATCCAGCACACAAGTTGAGGATATTTTGCTATTGCTAAAATTGCACAACCACACACCAGCTTTCTTAATTAGAAAAATAAATTGCACCTTCTCAGCAAGATTTCGCACCTAGCAACAGAGCGAACAAAACAACACAAGCCAAAACTGTGTCCATAATGCAATACAAAAATATTTTTCACCGGCATGCCTAGCATTAATCATTCTTCCCCCTCCCCAAATGATAAATATTCATAAATGTGTTTTTAGTGTAATGAGAAACAAATCCTCCAAATCGTTTCAATTTACAGTTACCCCCTAACTCTAAGGCTATTTTTCTAGTACATTTTCAAATCCTGTTGTTTACCCCAACCACCTTCCCCCCATTCCTGCCACCTTCACATTTTTAGTACAGAAATTCAGGGCAGATGTCAGAGTGATTCTGTTTAAGTTGCTGCATCTCTCTTGCTGCTGTTAATACCCACAAACCTTCTGAAAACTGCACTAAGCAGCAGGAGTATTTTCACATGCATTACTGTGGGGTGAAAGCCCTGCTCTGAGGGGTTTTTTTCACCAATCAATAAAGGAAGTATAGGTGTCATCTGGGTACGAAAGCAAAAAGCCAAAGACCTTTTCAACCTGGTGTTTAAAATACAGTTCAGCCACCATGAAACTATCTTTGCACTACAGGAGGCACCAAAAAGAAAATAATCCCAAAACAAACAAACAAAAACAAACAAAGACTGTCCGTGGGTGGGGGGAGGCAGGAAGAACAGGGGAACAAGGTAAAGCAACAGCACCCTATTACTTTTGGAGAACGGTACACCCGAATCGCTAACTTTCTGCAAAACTTCAACTCCACTGCACCACATTTCAACACGGTATCCAGCTGCAGTTTCTAGTCTGAACAACATAAAGTTGCAAGAACTCCCAGTGCTGAATAAAGACAAGCCCTCCTTTTGGCAGGCTGGTATAGCTGATTCCAGGCTGATAGACTGGAAAAATTTGATGTAAATTATTTGACTCCTGAGGTAGTACTGAAGAGTTCCTGTAATAAACCCCCTAAAGCTAAATTGTTTCACAAAACAAAGCCTTAAAAGTGGGGGGAAAAAAACACTAAATTTTCTAACTTCCTACTCACTCACCTCTGTGAAACTGAAGAAGAGTCCTATGCCTCCAACAAATCTCAGCACCATCCCAGAATATTCTTCTATTATTGGTGCACATGGTTGACACTGGCGACTTCTAAAACAATCCTGTAGCAGATACAGAGAATTGCACTCCAGTCTCTGGTGACACTTCATTGATTGAAAGCACCTACAAGACTGCCAGCCACGGACAAAACTCTAGCAGTTTTAAGAGACTCCAAAAAAGCAAGTATATAAATGACAAGGGAGTACAACCTTTGCAGGGTGCTCTGTCATTATGTTTCCAGAAAGTTAACTAAAGAGCTCGGTATCATTCTAACAACTACCTTACACATTTCTTTAAACCTCTGCTTTCTGCAGCTACGAAAACAGTTGTACATGTTTGAACAAACACAATGAAGTTGTAAGTTTTTTCATGCTGGAAGAACTTACAGAGGAGCAGGTTTCATTCGGATCAAAAACTCTGAATCCACAACAATTCAGATTTCTCTCAATATCTGTTCTCGCGCTGTTAGTGTTGTTCCATCCCACCTCTAGAAGCTGACTCTAGAAGGCATAAGCAAATACACGTTATTTGAACCATTTTGCATTTCATTGGAAACCGACATCCTAGGCCGAGTCAATAATTCCCCAACTAAAACCTTCAGATCCTGAAGAACAACATATTGAAGAATGACTTGAACGTTCAAAGAGCGTGTGTAGCTAATGAAACAGCAGGACCCAGCAGCACTGCATTCATGCTTCTAACTAATTCTCTTCCTTTCTCCTTCCTAAACCAGTTAAGAGTAGTAATGGGACATGCAACTAAGCTAACTGGGACTGCTCAGACTTTAAACAAAAAGTGTACTTGCTTGCAGGAAGCTGATTATTTAGTCACTGTACCCTTGCCTGCTTCTTACGCAGTAAGAATGAGCCTCCATACCCCAGGAAAGCTGGTTTTACTTTCACACTTAAGGGTCACCTCTGTTCCTAATGTAGTCACAACCTTTTCAATTACACAAGAACAATTCGGTGGCTTTATCATCTTTACATTACGATTACTGTAGAGTTCATCAGCTTATCTGAAACTGCTGAACACATGATATGGTCAAGATGTCAAGCTGCTACACTTGCGACCATAAACCTATTCACACAGCAAACTTAAAGCCAAAACAGTTTTTTTAAAAAAAAGCTGAAAGTAATTCTAAAACCCAGATGTAGTTCCTTCTAGCTACCACAGCCAACCACTGCCTAAGTTCTAGCCCTTATTTAAAAGGATAACACTGATTTTCTTAAAATATGCTCTCCCCATTTTGTAGAAGACTATATATATATATACACACAGACATAAAAAAAAACGTGTGTGAAAATGTGTGTGTGTCTGTGTATGTACATACATATGTACAGCATTATGCTATAGATTAACTGAGAAGTCAGGAAACTTTTCTTACCTGCTGTTCCTTGTTTAGTGCCAAACAGGCACAGGAGACAGAAAACTGGACAATAAAGACTAGCAAAAGAATAATCATGTACTGGAAATAGTAGTTAAGGATACACTCCCAAATTAATTTTGCTTTTATAAAACATATGCCAAATGGTATTCCTTATTTCATCGGGTAACAATAGGTCCTTTAAACAAAATAGCTATAGAAGTAAATTCTGACTGGATGTGGAAAAGATGACCTGAATAACGTTCCCAGAACTCAATCACCATGTATTACCTCTTTTTGATTACTACTATACATAGCTGGTATTTCTGGGTTAGGTGCTTCCTGCCTAGCAGGACAACACGAGCTGTTAATAAAAGGCACTTTAAGAGAGAAAATTACAGCCAATGTCTCCAGCTTTGTCATTCCAAGACACCTGACTTTTAGTAGCAAACAAAATGCTCTTCTGGGTATTGCACATTCAGATTTTTTTTCTTCTGCAATGACCTAGTCTTGTAATTAATTACAATAGACAACTTCAGCTTAGATTAAAAACAAAGAGTTGCTTTTGGAACACAGCCTCGCACGCTTTTGGACTAATGCGTCTGAAAACAGCGTAAAACAAAAAGAACAAATGCTAAAGATCACATTTTGAAAGTCTGCCACTGTCTTCACGATTTGGCAGCTGTGTTCAGAGGCAGATACTTATCTCACGGAATTAAACTGTTTGTAAAGTGGAGGTCACTACTTATTCACAGGCCACAACCAGAAAAATTAGAATTTTATCTGATTAATCTCTTTTCTCATCCAAATAGATCAATTTTGTTACACAAGACAGCACCACAGACCGCTTACACAGCATCAGTAAGCACAAAGGGGCAGCAAAGCACACGAGAAGGCCTGTGCTCACTTCTAGTCTGGGTTCGCAGTTAAAGCCTGGGTATGAAAAGAACGTGCTTCTCGTCAGCCTGTATTACCACAATGCATTCCCCTGCCAGCCACAGCCAGCTCGCTATCTGGAAGTACCACCCTTCTCTACCGTTAAACATTAATAGTTCACATACCCTAGGGTTGGGCAAGAGGCATCTGTGATACAGTGACCCATCATAAAAAGCTCTCAAAAAATGAAAATATTTTAATTTTTAAAAAGAAGACATGAATACTTCTGTCTTCAGGGCACAAACAAGGGAGAAAAAAGGAAGCTGGAATCAAGTTAAATGGGAAGGAAGTTGAAGTTAGACTGCACTTGACCAAAATAAGATTGTGAATTTCTGTTCTGCTCCTGAAGCACCTTCCAGGTCCGTTTCAGCCGACAGAGCAGGTTGTTTACACGGCTTGAACCAAGCAACGCACCAGAAGGATACAAAGAACAGCAATACTTGATGATGTTTCACCGCACCAATCAGTCCAACTAAGGCAATGAGGAAGAGGAAGATTCCTACTGCAATGGCCACTCCGACAACTCTGAAGCTAGAGATGAGGCCGAAGCCGATGCCCCATGCTGCAATGCCAATCAGCAGCAGGCTTACCAGCTGGAGGGAAGAGAGAACAAAAAGTTAGTCTGCATATTCAAGGAGGCTCACAGAGCTACATTCTTTACATTGAAGCTGTTATTAGAAAGGTACAATTTTTCTTTCCAGCGCAAAGAGAAGAAGGACAACCCTAAATAAACCAATCCTCCACTTCATCACAGAGGTAACTTCAGTTCCAGATGTTTCACGGCACACATTCTTCAGCAGCGTTGATGTGGAGCTGCTACAACTTCATCTACAAGTCAAGCCACACTGCATTATCTGTGACTGACCAGAGACACTAAACTGAAGTGTAGATTATAACACAAGTGACAAATGAGCTAAAAATCATCAGCTTTAATTCACAGAATGGAAGAAGAGTGAAATTTCCAGACGTTTTCTGAAACAAGGGCAGTGTATTTAGAGGAAATAGTCTACACAGCTCCACAGCCCTGAAATGTGTAAAAAAAGTGTAGTTCGCCAAAACTTACTGTAATCAGGCATACAGCTGTATTAATTCATTAGAGAAGCTTCTACGTAGTTGATGATATAACAACAGTTAACAAGGTCACACAAAAATACTTCGTAGATCTGTATCTCAAGGACTTTATATAGGAAAACAATAAAGGTGCCCTGTCTCCACTACATATTTCTTCAAGAAAACAGCTCTACTATGAAGACAATCCTATTTCAATACCCAAAACACTCTTACGCTGTTTCCTTCCTTTTAAAGATGGTATTCAGGGAAGGCATGCAGAATCTGTCCCAGTTAGTTTACTGGGATTTATTGTTTATGTGGGCAGGAAGCTCCAGCCTTTCCTGTTTCCATGCCAAAAACACAGAACAAAAAAAAAATTCCAACACGAAAAGCTGCAGAGAAATCTGTAACGAGGTACAGCAGGAGGGAAGCAGCAGACAAAGCCAACCCAGATGTCCAACACACAAGATGCCCAATGCTCTCTTGTTTGTTTGTTCAACACCAGTAGAGTTTTAGGATTAATTCACATTTGCCTTTGTTTCTCTTAAACAAAAAGCCTTAATCACCATGTTTATTTAAAACCAAAACACAGGGCCAATATGTTGTGAATCTAAATTACAGGGAGGGGGGGAGAAAAATAAACCAAAACACTTTGGCTCTGCCACAGACAGATTTTTCTGAATGCGTGCTGCACAAGGTTATAAACTTCCTGGTGTTACCACATTCAAAACTAGCCTTGCTAACCAGGCAGTGAAGTGCAAGACCCAGCTGTTCTGATCTACGCCCATTCACTTTATTTCATTGTCTCATACCAGCAGGAAGATTTATTTTTCCACGTAAGCGTCAGAAGTGAACAACAAAAGAAATCCCACAACCCAATTTCCAATCAGTAAGAGCTGGCTGACATCCCATGCTCTGCATCAACTTTCATAAGCACTGAACTCACACCGCCACTACACAGCTCTTCAAAGTGTTATCTCAAAAAAAAAAAATCTCAAAGGCAATGTCAAATTTTAATTTATTTCACAAAGAAAAGCAGAAGAAACTTTGCTCCTAATGATTTTCACCAATACTTCTTTCTTCTGCCTGAGCTATGATCGCAAGTCTTTATTTTCACCATCTGCCTCCAGGATACCAAAACGTGTATTTCCTCATTTCATAAGACATCTAAAACAATTGGATGAAATTAATTTGATTCTTGAAGTACCAAAACCAAAAGAGGAGACCTAAACAAAATCTGTGCCCGAAACACCTACTGGATAAACGCAGTGTGTGAGCTGCAGGGTACTGGGTACTTCTTGCTGGGGTCACCCATCTCAGCTTCCATTATTCTGGTCACACGTACATGACGTCAGCGCTTACGACACAAACAGTTACCACCATGGCCCCCCTGGCCTAAAAAGCTTTTCTGGTTGAAACAGCCACATACTGAATCTAGAACTGCTATGGTTTTCAAGTGGGAAAAAGGCCTCTCTGGCTTTTAAACCCACTATTGAATCCCAGATCTTCAGGAATCAGGTGCTAGGCCTTGAAAAATACAATAACATAAAATAGTTTACTTTCTCTTTTGATCACATTCTAGTTTTAGAGCCGTCAGTCTCATTTTCAGGCTTTACCTCCATCGCACCAAGGTTGTATTTTCTCTTCTTTCACACGACAAAATGGTTCATTGTCTAATTCCTCAAAACATCTGGAAATTCGGTGTGACCACAGATCCATGCTACTGGGCTCTGCTTGGCAAGCTACATGAAACCACTGTACCCAGTCAGGCAGATGCAGGATTTGGATCAAAATATCTATCAGCTAGTCCAATTTTGGCCACTTAAAATCATGGAAAACTGACTTCGTGTTTCAAAACTGAAATAGAGACTGCAGGTCTACAAACCATTCCAGAAACAGATTTAGTATTAAGTTCCTGACTCCTCTGCACACTGACTGAAAGATGAAATTACGGTTATTCCTTCATTTTCAGGTTTGGATTGGACTATCTGAATGTTGAATAATAAAACTATATATATATATAGTTTTATAGTGCCATAATGTGAAAAACTGAAGTAAACACACACTACTACAAACAGGAAAAATAACTTAAGCTGTTTTGGGAAGAGGTTTTACAAGTCTGTAAAACAAGGCAAGGCTCATAGCGCTAGGCACTGCTTAGCCGCTAGAAGTGACTACTCAACAGTGCTTATTCCAGGGCTTTGAAACAAAAGGATTTGGATGCAATATTTCTAAAAGCGAAGCTCTTAAGATGTTGTAGTAAAACATACTTAAAACAAAATTACTTAGAGCCCCTAAGTACTTCTATGTACCATCTAAACATACAAGCCTTATTCACTCATAAAAAGTCACCTATTTCTGTTAAATGAAGGAAAAAGGACTCTCTATGGAGCTTCTGAATGTCACGTTTTATTTTACTGAAACCACATTTCACAGCACCAGAACTCCCCCAAAGAAAACAGTGTCATCCTTGGAAGACTGAAGCACACCCAAAACTCCGGTTTACCTATCGGAGTTTACTTACGTAGAGCCAGCCGTGGTTACTAACCCCTCAAGTATTTGCTTGATAAATCTAGCAGAAACACATGAAATGACAGTCCAGTTTTTAGCGATGAGGACTGCTCTGGTTTCCCACAGTAGTCTCACCAGTAAGCCGAGAAGGCATGGGTTGGACAAGTGGCGCATTAGCTGAAGCTCAACAGGCTGAAGCGCTGAACTTAAAGGGTAGCGATTGCTGGCTCAGCATCCAGCTGGTAGCAGTTAAGGAGCACCAAAAGCTGATACTGGGGCCAGTATCATATAGTGTCTTCATCAACAACCTGGGTGGTAAGACAGAATGAATCCTCATCAAATTTGTGGATGGAACTGAACAAGGAAGAGCGATTGCCTCTCTAAACAGAGATTTAACTCAGATGGACCTTGATAAACTTGAGGAATAAGCCAACAGGAACCTCATGGAGCACAAAATTCTGCTCCTGGGGTGCTTCAGTGCAGCCTGGGAACAGACTGGCTGAACAAGCATCTTACGGAGATAGACCTGGGGATCACACTGGTTGCAAGTTGAACATGAGCCAAGAGTCTGCTCTCATTGCAAACAGGGAAAGCCAAGAGAAGTGCAATCAAAGGAAACTCAATGCTGGTGAGACCGCAGCTCAAATAGTGTGTCCTATTTCAAGCCCCCTCAGGTTGAAAAGGAATTTGAGAACCTGGAAATAGTCACCAAAATGGCCTGGAGCCTTGAGGTTGATGTTTGAGAAGCAGGTGATGGAGCTGACAAAGGGGCAGCCTAGGGATAAGCTAATAGCAACTCAAGCTGAAAGTACATTTCAAAAACAATGGAGGCAAGCTCTTCTCAGTATTAACTGAGAACAAAACAACAGGCAACAAGCACAAGGAACAGCTTGGAAGGTTCAGACTGGACATTAGAAAAAACATTTGCAAGGTGGTTTGGTGCTATTCTCAGAGAGGTGATAATGTTTCTTCTCAGAGGTTTTCAAGACTCAGTAGGCAAAGCCACAACAGGAAAACGAGTGTTATTCGTAATCCTGCTCTGAGCAGGAGCCTGGACAGACGAGACCCAGCAGCCCCTTCCAACCAACACTCCCACACACCACAGCCAGCTCTTCCACCGTGGAAACTTTACCATTCTCCACATCAAAATAAAAAATTCCAAGTTTTTAACAGGCTGATAAGGGACAGATTTAGCACTTAGCAAGGACTCTTCCGTACCGTCCAGCTCATTAAATAAGAGACTACCACCAGCCCCTAAACCCCATATCCACAAAACACCTTCTTACAAGCAGTAAGAAGGTCTCTCAAAAGAGCAACGAATGATTCTTAGGAAGTACTTACCCAACTTCAAAAACACAAGTACAAGTCTTGTTCTGAGAAGTGATTTAAAAGGTCCTGTTCACTTGAGGCATGTTTACATAGAAAGCCAACAGGCATTAAGAGAAAAAAAGGTATTACAATCTCAAGCTGGAGCAATGTGTCCCACAGAAAGATGCTACAAGCATCTACTGTCCACACAGCAGAAGAGCAACATAGAACCATGGGAAGTGTGTGCATGGGGGCATGGGGGAAGGCCACAACTAGTATTTTACATCTAATATCCTCATTTACTATATAGTATCTTCTCCATCAAAACGAACTCCAGCAACCCTATTTAAGAAGCACACAGGCAAACACAGGTTTAGCATAATCCAATACATAAACTCATCAATTTGAAATTAAGTAAACATTTTACCAAACAAACCTATAGGTAGCACAAATCCTAAGGGAAGATCAGTAGTTTTCATTATGAGATCAGGTACTTTTTCTACAGAGGATTAAAAAAAAAAAAAGAAAATTAAGCATATTGCCAATAGATAAAAGCATTACTCCAATGTCAGTGTCTCTACAGGAAAAAATTCAGTGACTATAAGTTCAAGATCAGTGGAATGGATCAGACTCCACTCTAAGTGACTTCCACTGTTTTTTTTATGCATTTATATATATATATATACACACACATACACACTTCACAGATGTTTCAAAAATAATGTTTAA